TTCCAGACCCCTGTTGCCGATCGGCCTCATCGTCTCGCTGGAGACGATGACGATCTCGCTCGGCGGCGGCTTCTTCGACGATTCTCCGAAATAGGGACACGTGCAGGGCGGCGGTGGCGCTTCCGGCCCTTCCTCCGATCCTCCTTTGTAGTGGCACTTTTTGCGCGCCGTCGCGTCGTCCTCGCTTCTGCGACAGGACGACTGCTCGTGGAAGCTGAAGGACCTTTTTCTGGGGGTCTTTGGCGAATCCTGGGTTTGCATTGTCCTCTCCACGTGGGCCTCGTTATAAGTCGACGCTCTTCTACGATGCTTCCAAGGACTCGGGAGATCTTCCTGCGCCGGCAGGCTCGTCCTCGAACAGGACACGCTGCTCTCCGTGCTTTCCGCACTTCTGGAGAAAAAAATGCATCAATATGAAAATGTTAATATGTATCTTATTAATCTTCGCGTTGATATTTAACTGCGCGGAAAATGTGCGTCGATTTAAGTTGAGACGCTTAGAGAGAAGGTGAAAGTATATTGTTATTCGATTTTTGAAATTTAGAATGCGACATGCGCTCACAATTTTTCGGGCTATTGCGTTAATAGGTTTTTTTATACGAGGAGTGTTTTTTTTTTTTAATATCGGCAATTTTGAAAGAAATTATTTTAATCGTTTGAATAGGTTTGTGCAAATTATTTATTTACAGTGTTATTTCATTAGAAATTATTTATCGCATTCTGTGTTTTGAAATTTACATATCTACATATTATATACGTATATTAAAATATATCTTTTGTATCAATTACGTATTGAATATCATTGTTCGATCATATTGTTGCCGCCTGCGATTGAAAACATAACATTTGCAAATTCCGTCGCTATTTCGCATTTAGGAATTACTCTATTCAACACACAATTGTCGAATGAGAGAAAAAATATTTTCCAAGTTCCACGTGTGAGAAAAAAACTTTCGTTATCGCCTGTAATCGATTTTGAAATAATCTACACACACTGCGATAAAAAAAAAGAGGCACGCTCGTTTTATTGAGAGATTAATGTTCAAATCCTATTATTTTTTTTCTCACGCGCTCGGTAAATCTTTCTGCTGTTATAAATCAAACTAAATAGAAAAAAAGGGGAATATTTGCGGAGCTTTACGCGCGATAAAAGCTTTTCTTACCGATCGTTAATTAAATCGAAAATAATCCGTACCGCATACAGTGACCTAAAGCAACGCGGATGTTTCGACCAAAGATTAATTCTCCCTTTATTACGCCATACAAGGATAATTCCCTTTACTGTCCAACGCGAAACTGTCGCTTACAGTCCGCGTGAGGGGAGAAAATATTTGGCTTCAAAGGGAATCTACAAATATCGCTGTTGTCACGAAATGTGGAGCACGTCGATACCCGGGCTCCCTTTATCATTCGATACGCGGAATCGGCCGTTGCGCGCGGCTAAACGAGAAAGGAGAAAGAGAAGAAAACACGATTGCATACCATTTTTGCAACCGGGCGCGTAATTGATCGCGAGATTGGATGAATTTGCGCGGGAGAGAAAAAATTGCTGTGCCGTCGCACAGAAAATTAGAGACACGTGAGGCGTACGCTTGTCCACTGTCGCACACTTTTCACGGCCGGGAGATTCGCGCCTGTCGCCGTTATCGATCTGTTATCGGTTGTTCGCCACGTTCGCCCGGCGCCGGCCGTTTAAACCGCGAGTAAATGTTCGTATCTCGCGTCACGAAAGAATGAAGTAAGATTTCCAACGTCAGCGGGGAAGACACGAGATTTACGCAAGCAGCGATCAAACTGACGACGCGGCAATCCGGATTTGAAAAGGATTAAAGTGACAACGCGAAGACGTTCGAATAACGAGGTGAACAATTTGAGGAAAAATTTGAGATTACAACGTGAAAGGAGTCGAAGTAATAATTTCACAAATCGGAGTGATAATTTTGTGTTGAGAAATATGAAAACAAGGATACGTAAAATTTCGGATTCGTGAAGAAACCAAGTCGAAAGTCACCGAAACAGAAAGAATTATTGTTGTTTCTCGAAAATCGAGGTGAAATTGCTTCGTGATCGCACGGTCGCTGAATATTGACAATTTTATCGGGGCGCTGGAGACGCGTCTCTCTTTCTCTCTCTCTCTCTCTTTTTCTCTCTCGGTGGGGTTTTCGGAGATAATTGAGGATGCTTCCGGAAGGAAGAGAAACGGCTCGATTGTCCTCGGAGAGTAGATCGCAGTCTTGACAGTAAATTGAGAAAAATCTTGGCTGTGAGGTAAACCGAAGGGGGAGACGCTCGAAGGACGGACAGATACGTTTCAGGATGTGCAGTTAAACGACTCTCGACTCGCGAATATTTTCCTCGAAATTGGCTCGAAATTATTTAAAAGATTGACTAGAACGAAGACCGCGAGTTACGGAACACCCTGTGCGCACACATTAGAGTTCCATTAGGATTATTAAGTTGAATGCAACTCGCTTTGTACGACACGACAATAGGCAGAGACATCTTGAAAATGTTCTCAGACACTCTACGTTTACTTAATTCGAACGGGCAAAACGGGTTTCGCGAAACGCAAAGTCTCCCCGCGCCCTATAGAGGTAATCTTCGTTTGATACGTTCAGAGACACGATCCTAAGTGCATTCCTTTATTAGAGGTTCATGTGGGGGGCAAGAGAGCAGTTTACTTAAGTACACGACACGAGCGAAACTCACTAGCTACGGTCTTCCATCCCCGCCCCATCCCGCCCGCCCTTTTCGCCCCCGCTTCGTCCGTTTTGCACTTTGAATGCCAGCAGCTAAGTGCAATCCACTTTGAGGCTACCGTGTATAAATGGGTTTTCCCGTCGTCGCGGTGACCTTTCTGACGCGTCTACTTTCGCATTTCCACGTGAGTTATGTGCGAAACTTTTAGGGAAATTTTCGGCAAATTCAGATGTCGCGAAAATACTACGAAAAAAAAATCTGAGAATCGAAAAATCACGTGCAGTTTGTGTTTGCCGTGTAAAAATCAGTTCTGCGATTTTGAACAAAATACATAGATCGATGAACATTTTTGGAAAAGAAAAATTGTCTGAATTTTACGCAGGTTTTGAAAAATTCGGAGAATCGCGAAAAGTCACTCACAATTTATATTTGCTGTGGAAAAATTAATTTCGTCGTTTTGCAAAATAAATGGATGAAAATTAGGAAATGAAAGAGATCGCTTAAATTTTATACAGGTTTTATTCGAATTAAATTATAATTTCTCTCTGCAACGATTTCGTCGTTGGAGGATTTTCGCGATGTCTGATTTGTCTGAACTCTTACGGCAGATTTAGCAGCAGACTGCCGGATGAACTTGTCATTAAAGTCGAAGGAGTCGCTTCGAGATTTTGTTACTAATACGTATCCATTAGCGAGCGCAAAAGTAAAGAAGGAAGCTGGAAAGGAAGTTGCGCAATCTTAAAGAGCCGGTTGCGAACTATTTAATGATTACAAGTTGCTTTGAGAAATTTTCGCCTTTCGCCGGCGCTCGATTACGCGATACGATTTCGTCTTTTCGCCTCCCGCGGAATTTTTCCAGCCGCTCTCACGCGTACTCGTAAATCTCCCGCGTCCCTCGCGTCTCGTTTTCTCGATTTCTGTCGCTTAAAATCGTCCTCTCCCTTAAAGCCGTTACATCCAGCAATTTTCCACAAACGCTAGGATCTCTTTCGAAAATTTTAGTATTCTAGGATACGCGCGTTATGTATTTTTATTCCGTTCTCGGAGTCGTCGGAGTCCTAAACTTTATTTTCTCGAGCTTTCTCTCTATTATTCGATTCGGTTCTTCGGAAGCTTTTAACTTTTAAGAACTGCCTTAAAGGTCGCGCACGATCGGGGAGATAGTAGGAAATCGAAGATGCGTAACCGCGGATCGGTGGATTATGATTGAAATACATTTTGCTACGGTAAAGACGGTAGAGTCCTTTAATATTCCTGCCTCGATGTTCTCGCTCCACTTTCAGCTTTGCGTATTTCCGCCGATCGACGGAGACGCTGCAACTCTAAACGATGTCAAACATAATCCCCCCTCCCCCCCTTTCTAAATTCACTTGCGATTCCTTCGGGAGGTGGGCGATGATCCCGCACGTAAGAAGTCTCCTCAGATCCCCCGCGTGTTTGCTTTTCCATTTTTTAACTTTTCAACGCGTGTAAAGTTGATTTTTGTAAGCTGATATTTAACTTGGAAAATAAATGTAAGAATTTTTAAGACCGAAAAGAAAAACGTGACACGCTCTGAAGAACTTTCTCGGGGAAAATACTTTCCGTGACATCACGACATTTAGATTGAAGGACAAAGGACAACTGGGAGGATAGGTTCAGATTACGATGTTGTATTCTTGGGGAATCGCGAGCGAGCACAATGGCAAACTTTTCACTTAAGATTTTCAAAGTTGCGTGCATGGGTTTCGAGCGGCGAACCGATATTACGCCGTCGGCAACACCTCGGCTGCGCGGCGTGCAAGCCGACTCGACGCAAGGCTAACCGCGTCTCGTAGCAGTCACGGTGTTGCGCGAACTGGAGTGACAAAGTGACACAAATTCATGCCACTTCGTATTGCCACGGAAACGTCCCGCCGTCAGGCACAATGGCGTGTTTTGAGAAGCCGCGGGGTTTACGACGCGATGGGTATGTCGTTAATAATTGCGGAAGCTCCCGCTGCGAGAGTTCAGATAAGCATAGAAATTCTCTCTTCGCGCGAATTGCATCGTGTCGGGACAAACCTTGTACAGGATGTTTCGCGTAAAGCGATTCATTGAGGCCGCAACACCGGAACAGATGTAAGGATCTCTTAACAGTCGAATGAAACAAAAGCAGGTTCGAATTATGAGGAAAATTTTGCGTGAAAACATTTCGAAAGATTGAAGAACAAAATTTGCGAAATTTTGTTTATTATTATTATCTCTATGTTGTCCGTGGCTTCTTTTAGCGCGTATTAACCTTCATAATTAATTATGTTCAATTGATATATTTTCCAATTAACGTCCAGCTCTCTGCATACACATTCGACGATTATAAAACTTAGCTTAAGTAAATTGTACAATGTAGGTGACAGAATAATTCAATGACAGAAGAGACTTGTAGAAAGATCCAGCGACACTATAGCTGATTTGCAATACACGGCATACCCGTTGCGAAAGCTGCACTTGCGCGACGACGGTGTGTGCTGTAGCTGCAGCTGCTGCTGATTATGCTGATGTTGATGGTGGAGCGTCGATCGCGACGGGACCTGACTTCCGGGGCTGCCGGCCATCCCCTCGAGGCCCCTCGACAGCTTGAGCATCTCCGCGCCGAAGGCGTGAAGGGCGGACATGGCCGAGGGTGGCGGCTCGCTTTCCGGCAGCCAAAGCTCGTGGGTGTCGAGGGTGGTCAGCTCGGTGTCGGTCGACGTGCCGGACGTGTGTTGCGGCGTGCCGCCGCTGCCGCCGGAACTCTTGTTCAGGAGAAACCGTCGCCAGGTACCTCGCCGATCGAGACCTGCGTATTGCGTAAAATTTGGAAATTTTAGAGTCCTCTCTCTCTCTCTCTCTCTCCAATCTCGAAAGAAACCAGACGGCCTTTTGGGCGACTTTCATCGGAGAACGTGAGATTCTAGCGATTCCAGTGACTGAATAACGTAGGATTTATTTATTTTTGTGCCGAGGAGTGAGGAAATATTTTCTGTTTTGTTGAAAAAAACACGATATTTTTTTCTTTCTTCTTATATTTTTTCGGTCATTATATTTTTCGGTCTTATATTTTGACGGCGAGAGGAAATATTGATGATTGAATTTTCTTGTTTCTCGAATATTCTAAATACGAATACGAATTAGTGCGAGCTCTTTTCGTCAGCGAACGCTCAAACAATTTGTATTCTGCATTCTTTGAATTCTAGAATTGTCAATGTTGCCACAAACAAATATTGCCTGAAATTCCTTTCAGAAAATTTTGCAAACAGAAATTGCTCTTTAACTGATGTGTACTTTACGTGAAGAATGCAGCATATTTATTTTTTTTAGGAACGCGCATTTTTTCAACGTTGTTTTATTGAAGAAAAAAACGCGATACTTTAATGGATTCGATGATCGAAAAAAATATTGACGTCCGAATTTGTTTTTTTTTAATGTTGAATTAATGTATTTGAAGAATTTTTGTTTTTGCTCTCTGCAATTTCTCAGCTGTAGAATTAACAATGTTTTGCAAAATTGGAAATCACTCTGTAACGGATTTATTTTACTTACCGTTCTCTGTCTAATTTTTTAATATTTTTTTAAATTAATTTTTAAAATGCTTTCACTGTTTATCGATGTAAGCTTTACAATGAAGTGACTCAAAGGATTTCTGCGTCATGTTCTGCAATCTTTCAATCCTGCGGAATACTAAGTGCCCGTGAATGGAGCCAAGTACTCTTTTAAAGTATCGATTAATTTTCATATCGGCGAGCAGCCGGACGCGACCTTCTTAGCATATTGTGTCGCATCCGAGCGATCTTTGCATAATAACTGGCATTTGCATATCACCGCCGTGGACGTCGGTGAGCTTCCGCTGACGTGCCGACGAAATTTCTTGTCGCAACGTGCCTCCATAATAGATAGAAGCCCGCCCAGTTCTCCGTCTCATCGATCCCGGGATCGATTCTCCGTAGAAAAACCAACCACTTTGGCACGATTAATCACGCGAACGTCACCAGGCTTGCCCAACCCTCTGTATATTGCATGCTATATTATTTATACAATGATGATGAGTCGCTTACAAGAGATTTATAAATGGATAAAAGAAATAATTAATTTCAATCAGATTGCAAAAGTTTCGCTTCACCCAGAAAAATTTCAGAACTGAAAGATCGTCTGAGAAAAGAAACTTTCGAACAATTAACTCGTTTCTAAACATTCGCAATTCTGTAACATCTATAAGATATTTTCTCGAAAATTCGTCGAGAGGCCTCGAGAAATGTGTTTTAAAACAATAATTGCGCAAGGCAGATGCATAAATATATATATGACGGCGTGCATGCTGGTGCGAAGTTGGCATGCAAATTCCGTTTGACGCGATAATCGGACGGTTGCCGGGATAAAATCAAAGTGACAATAGGTGGCGGCTTCCGGCGAAACTTTCCATTGCCGGAAGAGAGAAGGAGAGAGAAAAAAAGAGACAAAGAGGTTCTCTCTCCTCCTAAAGAGTGCTTTGTATCAGAAAGATGAATTTGCGTCGGCGTTCTCGCGGAACGTTTATGAGACGCGCTTTTCTTTGAGGTTCCCGAAACCGTCCGATAAATCGGAATAAATAATTTTTATTGCGGGTGGAAGCTTAACTACAGCTGTCCTGCGTGTCGCTCGTTTTCAAATAATCGTGTTTCTGGAGAAAACTGGGAAATATTGGACGGGGAAAATAGTGAGCAAGGAGAAAAAGGTAAAAAAACATCGAGAAGAACTTGTAATGGTGTAGCGCTATTTTTTTGTTCCCCTTTTTTTGCTTTGCATTTGACTAATATTTATTTTAACATATTTCCGAATTTAATTTTATTTATTTACTGATAAATATCGACATGAGAGACAAATTTGGTAAAAAAAATGAAAAATTGACACACAATATTTCGAAGTGTGTCATAGCGGTATTACGAATAAAGAGAGAACGACGAAAAATGGCCCGCGAAATAATAAGAGCGGACAAATATTGTCGGACAAATACTTTTTTCATAATCTGCCTCTCAATTAAAATTCCGAAAGATCGAAGAAATCTGAAACGTCGAGAATTCAAGCGTACAAATATTTAAACTCGGAGAATCCGTAGAAATCCGAAGACGTAAGGTCTTTTTAAACATTTTATTGAGATTTCTTATGCGTCAGCATAGTTTTGGAAATATCAGCATATTTCGAAAATCCGAGACCGAGCGGAGAGAAAACCCGAGACACTCGCGCTTTAATCCCGCCACTTTTTCATTCAATGCACTTTGTGTTCGTGTATTTTATAAATATATAATATATTTCGAAGAGCGGAGGATAAAAAGTAGTTGGATTTTTCGAAGTGGGAAGCGTGACTTTTTTTCCAACGAGTGCGAAGACGGGAAGGGGCGAAGTGTAAACAGGCTAGTGTACGCGGCAATACACTAACCTGTCGCGGCGGGTGCGCCCTGAGGAGCACCCAGCCATCCCGATGACCAACCTGCTCCTGTCCCATCGATGTTCTGCTGCTGCTTCGCCAGCAGGTTCACCGTCAGCTTATACGTCAGCAGCATTACCACCAGCGGAATGTAGAAGCAGATTATGCTGCCGATTAATTTGTAGAGAGGATCGGGAATCTGGCAGGCTCCGTCCACCAGCACCGAGTCGTCCTCCTGAAACGGGAGCAAATTTCATCTGTTAATTAACGCCCGGTATTTACGTGAACGCGAAGCGCGTGGCGTGGTTAATTTAATTACGATAATTATCAGTCGTTATGAACAACCGTTAATTAGTTTCTAAATCGTTCTAAAGCATACACCGCTTAATTGTTATGTCAAATGCGACGCTGAATGCGGAAAAGATTTTCAAATCGCGGCCCGAAAAAGAACTCGAAAGGTACTAATCTCGTCCCCGCGATTGTTTCAGGACGCCGGAGCAGTGTCCCAGCGTCGTGTCCCTCCTAGCGGAGAGCTACAATCCGCACGTGAGATACGGCGCGGCGATGGCCCTGGGTATCGCCTGCGCGGGCACCGGTCTGAAAGAAGCCATCGCGCTGCTGGACCCGATGACCAACGACCCCGTGAATTTCGTCAGGCAGGGCGCGCTGATCGCCTCCGCCATGATCCTGATCCAGCAGACCGAGTCCACGTGTCCCCGCGTCAAGGACTTCAGGGCGCTGTACGCCAAGGTCGTCGTGGACAAGCACGAAGACGTGATGGCCAAGTTCGGGGCCATCCTGGCGCAAGGAATAATCGATGCCGGTGAGTGCCCTTTCGGAACGTTCTCTTTGCACGCGCCGAACGAGATCGAAGTTCGAGATCTGTGATTTGAAAGTGGCGCAATCAGCGTCGGGGGCGGCCGCAAAGCGTGACACGAGCGCACTTCCGCTTATTCCCAGGTGGCCGTAATGTGACCGTATCTCTGCAATCGCGGACGGGCCACACGAACATGCTGGCGGTGGTCGGCGCGCTGGTGTTCACGCAGTACTGGTACTGGTTCCCGCTCGCGCACTGCCTCGCCCTGGCCTTCACGCCTACGTGCCTGATCGCCCTGAACGCCCAGCTGAAGATGCCCAAGCTGGAGATCAGGTCGAACGCCAGGCCGAGCGTGTACGCGTACCCGGCGCCTCTCGAAGAGAAGAAGAGAGAGGAGCGGGAGAAAGTCACCACTGCTGTCCTCAGTGTCGCGGCGCGCGTCAGGAGACGCGAGTCCGAGAGGAAGGCCAGGGATTCGCACGACAAGATGGAGGTGGTAAGTTGAAAGAAACATTGCAATATTGCGAAATGTCCAGACGAAGGAAACAGCGGAAATAATTGCAGGAATAATTGCTCTGAATTATTTTGCGCTCACATCTCGATGACTGTTAATTTTATTGATAGCTATTGATTAAACGGAAGAAAACATTATTGCTACTTTATTTTTTTTTTTTGTTGGGCTGTACTTGTGATTGTCATTTTTTTTTATGAACATACTCATCGGGAAGACTTTCGCTGTATTTTTAATTTAATTAATATGCTTTAATTGAT